ACCTCCTAATGGCAACAACTGGAAAGATCACCCATTAATTCCTTCTACCTGTGTCCACGGGGCTGCTCAGTTCCATTCCTTCTTCAGACCTGCTTTGCTCAGACTTTTTGTTAGTTCTGTGGGACACCTTCACAACCTCCCTTATATCCTTAAGTAGCCCGAGTTGAGCTTCTGTTACTAGCAACCAAAGAACCCTGACACAAGAGCTTACTCCCTGCCAGACGCACGAACCCTCACCCCGCAGCCTCCCCGAGACGCAGCTAATGTGTTCCCATTCTGCAGATGAAGAAACTGAGGCTGAGCGTCTTGGGTAATTGAGGACACACAACCAGTCCTTGCTGTAGCCAGCATTTGAACCAGAATCCAAACCCCGGGCTTTCTCCCATCCACCGCTCCAGGCCACCAGTCCAACGCCCTGCGTTTGAGCACAAGCTGCTGCTCCTAGAGCGCCTATCAGTACGGTGTACCGTTTACAGAATATGTTCACACACAACAACACGTGTAAGCCTCGCAGCCACCTGGGAGGAAGATATTTTCATGACCCCACGTCTGGTCAGCCCCATTTTTCCCCTTGCTAAAAACCTTTCTGTGACCCAACACAGCCTGCAGAGTAAGTCCGTCAGCCTCAGCATGGGCTCCCGGAGCCTCGAGATCCAGGCCCCAGGCCTCGGGGCAGCACTTTCTTTCTGGTACTTTGAGCTCCAGCCAGGATAGAGCTATGGGCCGTTCCCCAAACCTGCCAGGCTGTGCGGCGCCTCTGAGCCCCCCCTCCACCTGGATGTCACCTTCCCCTGGCACCCTGAGTCCTGACTAGACTGCCCCCCGCCCGACTCACACCTGTGAACCCTGCTTACCTTTCCAGACTCCGACGAAGCTCTCCTTCCTCCGGGAACCCTCTCCTGTGCCCCCTGCCCCAAGAAGAGCCCATACTCCCGCTGAGTCCTGGGCAGGAACCCGGGGTGACATCGCAGTGGACACTGAGGTTGACCCCTCCCTACTTTCCACCTCAAAAGTCATTCCAATCCAGCCCTGCAAGCCCACCCTCCTTCAGACACACTGGTCAGAGCGTCCAGGGGTGTTTGAGTCCCGCCTCTGATTTACTGGGCTCTTCTCTGCCACCGGAGCGTGGGGACCTGGGCCACCGTGTTCATCCCGCCCCAGCGTCTGTGCCTGTGTGGGGGACCATGCTCGTTCTCCGGGGACGACTTTCCTACTGGGGTGGAAAGTGACGGCGTCCCCCCAGCTCCTTCCCGGGAATCCAGCCTGAGGCAGCAGCGGCCACTCCTGCTCTTGTGTCTCAGGGAGGAGGGGCTCCGGTTGTCCCCCAGGTGCCCCCAGGCTGCTGGGCTTTCCTGGTGGGCGCCCATGTGCACAGACTTCATTCTGTCCGTCTCCATCTCACCACGGCCTCCACCTTCGGAGCTGCTCGGCCCCACGCCCTGGGCTCCGCAGGCAGGAACTCAGCTGATGAGCAGCAGCCGCGCTCAGGCCACAGCTGACCGAGAGCTGAGGGGATGAGCCGCTATCCCTCCCTCGCAAGGCTGTTGGCACGTTTGCAGGAGAGTCCCAGTGGCATCCGCTTTTCTCACACGTCAGCAACTTGCCACGCTCTGTGCTGGAGGCTTTTCTCATTTAATTTTTACAGCAATTTTGTTCTTATTATTTATTGCCATTTTGTAGGTGAGATTGCAGAAGCTCAGAGAGGTTACGTAACTTGCCCAGGGTCACACAGGTGTAACAGGAGCTGGGGCTGAAGGCCATTTGCTCGGCCCAGGACCCTGCAGCCACTGCAGGTGTGCCTACCTGTCCTCGAGGCCCCCTACACAGCCAGTTCTGTTTGTTCCACGTCTCCCACGAAAGGGCAGCAGCATCAACCCCACTCACAGCGATGTCCTCCATTGATCACAGTCTAGAATTTTCTGTTGGGGTATGTGTGAGGGAGCAAGAACCCACTGTTAGGTCTGATCAAATAGTTGAATCGATACCCCCTCCCCTGGGAATGGACCTCTAGGCCACCTCACCATGGACATTCCCTTTCGCTTTGATCACTTTCCACTTGCTAAGACCATTCTCCTTCCTCTCCCGACCTTCCCAGGATTCCCGGGACCCTGACCGCCCAGAGAACTCTCCGCCTGCCCGGAAAAGCCCGCCTAGAGTCCTTTAAGATCTCTGACTCCCCATCGCTGGGTGCTGGCGTCATTTGGGGGCTCAGCCCATCTGGTCTCCAGATGATGTAATACATTTATAATCCCTTAGCACTGTTGGCCTCCTGCGTTCCTCCCAGGAGACCCTAACACTCACACCCCAAAGTCACACAGATTGAAAAGATGAACTGCAGGCAGTTTGGACTCTAGAGCCCGGAATGGGGGGCTGAGGGGGGGATGGAGGAGGGGGAGTGGGGATGGAGAAGAGGAAGTCCCTGGAAGTGGGCAGAGTGAGGGCAGTAGGGCCTGGCCTGGCTTCTCGGGGGCGGAGCCCGAGGCTATGGCGATCTAAGAACAGTGACCAGCACTGAAGAAGGTTCTAAGTCCCCAGGAAGATGAGTACAGTGGGTCCTGGCCCCTGAGCACTGTGAGTGGAAATTTTTGAAAAGATCAAAGAGGCATTTCTGCAATCAGTGCCCCGCCCTCAGCGCGGCTTCCTCAGGTGGGCTTGTGGTGCAAGGCCAGGCCCGCCAGGTGGCAGCAGAGCGCCAGTCAGTGGCCAGCAAGGTGTGACTTGGCGCAAGTTCTAACCAGGAGCTGGGACAGGGGAGGTGGCGGCCACTTGTAAACTCAAGGCAGGTTGAGCTGGGCCAAAGGGAAAATGGGTCAGGCAGCCTCCTGGTACGGTTCACATGATGTTGCTAAACTTATTCTGTACCAGCCACTGTGTCAACACGTGGTGAGCATGATCTCTTTGAACTCACACCGCTAACCTCCGGAGTAGATACTTTTATCAGCCCCACTTTCTAGATGCAGGCAATGAGGCTCCAAGGGATTTATGATTTGCCCAAAGTGACACAGAGTGAAGAGATGATGTGCAGGCAGTTGGGACTCTGGAGCCCCTGCTGTCAGCCTGGGGTGGGGGTGGGGCGGGGGGGGGTGGCGCTGTGCTGTCACTAGTCACTAGGAAGTGTGGAGGGTGAGGGCAGGTAGGGCCTGGCCTGGGCCTAGAATAGAGCCTGAGTCTAGGCCAGTGCCTAGGAGCCTAGTCAAAGGGAACTTGGGGGGCACTTCCAGGAAACAGGATGTGGTGGGATTTTCAGGCGGAGGTTCCTTGGGAACCCTATATTGAAGAAGCCCCACCAGCCAATCCTGGGCACCTCACCCTGACAGGACTGGGTACCTCAGAAGCTGCAAACCAAAGGCCCAAAGAGATGCCCTTGTACAGTCTGAGCCGGACTTTCTTGCTAAACTCCGAAGAGCAGAGGCATTGGAGAGCATGCCCCAGACAGGTCACAGTGTCCCCAGTGTGCTGGGTCTTGCCCTGTAGCGCCCTCTGGGGGAGGGAAAGATGCCAGCGGCTCTGCAGTCTCCATGCTAGAACAATACCCCGCACGCAAGGCCCCTGAATGAGCACTGGGCACCCGGGGACTGGAGTGAGACTGGAAGCTTCCCCACCCCTGAGATCCAGGTCAGTACCTCCCTCCTCACTGGTCTCGCTGCCAATCATCCAGGGGCCCAGCTATCGAGCCCCGGTTCACACAGAACAGTACCTGCCACAGGCCTTTGTGAGAGTTACTGGGCATTGCCCCAAGGTTCAGCCTGAAACTGCTTTCCCCAAATCTGTGGACACCAAGAGCTTGTATCCTTCCGGACTTTTGAGCAAAATCTCCTGAATCAGCCTCAGGTCTGGGAACCCAGACCAAGTCATGTTCTATTATCCTGCCTCAGGGCCTTTGCACGGCTTCTTCTCTCCGTCTGCAATCTCTTCCTCCATCTTCCTAAAGCTGACTCCTTCTCATGTAGGTCTCAATTTACATTTTCTCTCCTTTCCAGAAAGGCTTTCCCTGTCTCACCTAATAGGATGAACACCCCTCTTTCTGTTCTGTCTCTCCCTGGCCATTTCCAGTGATGCCTTGGTTCAGTATGTCCTCACACAGGACAATCCCAAATGGTCACTGGAAACCCACAGGATTTGGCAGGAGTGGGGCCCTCATATGTTATGAGGAAGGAGAACTTAGTGGCCATTTAGTCTACAAGCGCAGGGATAAGAAGGCTCAGATTGCCTGATTCTGGTGGTGTTTTGTCTGGTTTGTTCATGAGAGAGCTGGTGAGCAGAGGTAGCTGTCTGTCCCATGGAAACACTTCTGGCATCTACACGTTTGATAATCAGGGAAGGTCATAGTGTCAGGTTCAATCAGCCCTGCTTTCCGTTAGATTCTACCTTCAAAGAGAAAATCTTATCTGCCTCTCCCCGGGGGACAGTTATCTCTGAGAACATCACAACAAAATCAGGGAGCTCAGCTTCGGAAGTCTTAGGGGTGTTCTATTTCCTCTTCATGACCAGAAGGGGGTGGGCCTCGATGGGCTCGAGGTCTAAGCCTGAAGGCTCTTCAACTCTTGGAGGCTGCATGAGGGAGGCTGTGAGGGGCCCAGTTCCATCGAAATGTTAGATAAATAAATATAATCTCTTCAGTAAAAATAGATCTCGTTCAGTAAAAGGGACATATTTATACTAATAAATGAGCCACAGTTCATCACTTTTAAAGTCCTAAAATTATTGTTTTTCTGAAATTCCAACGCAACTAGCATCCTGTATTTTAACCAGCGACCCTACAGAGGGGGGACCAGCGTTGAAAATAAATGGCTTCCCCAAGATGAAGGAAAACAGAAGCCATAGTGAGCCATGACTTTTTGAGGGGAGGATTGAAGTTGGTTCCATTCACGCCAATTAAGCAATCACAGATGACCCCATCAGAAATCCAAACTCATGACTAACATGGGACTCAAGACCAGGGGGGAGGAAAAGAAAGATTAAGAGAGGAGAAGCAGTCTTCACACACGGGGCAGCTGCAGTCGGAGGACGACCCCATCCAGAAGGTAAGAGCATTGCCGTCTCATGCACAGGGAGGCCTGTTCCTTCAGAGCCAGGGTCCCAGGGCACAGGGAGGCCTGTTCCTTCAGGGCAGGGCCAGGGTCCCAGGGCCCGGGGAAGGCTGTTCCTTCTCAGAGCAGGGCCGGGGTCCCAGGGCACAGGGAGGCCTGTTCCTTCAGGCAGAGCCGGGGTCCCAGGGCCCGGGAAGGCCTGTTTCCTCAGGGCAGGGCCGGGGTCCCCAGAGCACAAGGAGGCCTGTTCCTTCAGGCAGGGCCAGGGTCCTGGATCGCAGGGAAGACCTGTTCCTTCAGAACAGAGCCAGGTTCCAAAGCAAGGGAGGCCTTTCCTTCAGGGCAGGGCCGGGGTCCCAAGGCACAGGGAGGCCTGTTCCTTCAGGGCAGGGCCGGGGTCCCAGTGCACAGGGAGGCCTGTTCCTTCAGGGCAGAGCCAGGGTCCCAGGGCACAGGGAGGCCTGTTCCTTCAGGGCAGGGCCGGGGTCCCAGTGCACAGGGAGGCCTGTTCCTTCAGAGCAGGGCCGGGGTCTCAGTGCACCGGGAGGCCTGTTCCTTTAGGGCAGGGCCAGGGTCCCAGTGCACAGGGAGGCCTGTTCCTTCAGGGCAGGGCCGGGGTCCCAGGGCACAGGAAGGTCCTGTTCCTTTAGGGCAGGGCCGGGGGCCTGGTGACCCCCCACCCTCCCTCATCGCCTCCCTGATGCTTGGCCATCACAGAACTCCTCCGTGTTTGTCATTCTCCAGCTTCTGAAGGTTCATAAAGTCTCCTCGATGCTCTCTGGAGACTGCCTAGCAGCAGAGCAGAGGCCCCGGGAGAGCCCACTGGGAGCAGCGCCTGTCGCTGGAAGGACTGCTTCTCCTGGGAGGGGCACTGCTGTCCCTCCCCGCTTCCCCACGGCTCTGAACTGGAGGCAGAGCTTCACCACAACAAGTTAACCCAGAATGAACGGAGTGCCGTGTCTGTCATTTTGAACACGGGGCTCACCCCTACATTATTCCCCTGAGCTGATCAGTGAGTTCAGCTGTAATGTCTTTTTTACCCCTGGGAAGGGCTAATTATACAGGGAATGCCCCTGTGGAAGGGGTCATGTGGTGAATTCTCCACCTGCCGCCCACTTCTCTCCCGCTGTTCTAAACAGGCTCATTAATATAATTCTGTGGGGACCAGACCTTTGAAATGCATGAGAACAATAAGAGGAAGGAAAAATACATAATAGCAAGGGGAGAAGAGAAACCGCTGTTGGGTTTTAACAAGCACACTTTAATCACGACCACTGCAGTTCATGAGCTTTTTGTCTATTTGTATTATAGATTAAATTTTTGATTAAATTATAGATTAAATTTCACACACACACAGGCATCACACACACACACACACACACACTTTAAATCCCAGTCATGAGACTTGAACAAGGGAGAAGCAGAAATTGATTTCAGCGGGAGGGACAAGAAATTATTACGAAAGTCAAGCTATGGGCTTCTTCAGCCCATTTTGGGGGGTGAATGTGGATTAGACCAGGCACCTGTAGGGGGTGGTTTTCTTTGTTGAAAAGTGTGCTGGGAGGGTGCTGTACAGTAGGTCACCATAGCCTCCTATGTGTCCAAGGATTGATATCAAATAACACTGCTCGAGAGAAATAACTCCTGTTATTAACCACAGTCTTGGGCCAAGGAAAGGAAGGAATAATAAAAATGCATTTTGCTTGTTTCTCTAGCAGCGGTTCTCAACCTGTGGGTCGCGAACAATGAAAATACATCCTGCATATCAGATATTTACATTACGATTCATAACAGTAGCAAAATTACAGTTATGAAGTAGCAACGAAAATAATTTTATGGTTGGGGGTGACCACAACATGAGGAACTGTATTAAAGGGTCGCGGCATTAGGAAGGTTGAGAACCACTGCATAGAGTCAAATTGAAGGCAAATAAAGAACATCTCCCCCTCCCCCAAATAATAACTTAATTTGAAAGCATTTTGCTTTTGTTTCTTCTTTGAACTTAATTTTCAGTTGGTGGAAGGGGTGAGAAACCTGAGCCATTTCCACTTGGTAGCAAGGACGGAAGCAGGTACACATCCTCTCACCAAGAGAGACCAGGTCCCAGCTGTCGTTCCTGTCACCTAGGGGGGAGTGTCTGTGGGGTCTTTATGAGACGAGGAGGAGGATGCTCTGGATGTGTTACATGATGCCGTGTGCCTCTGCTGTTAGGTGTCCTGTGGTCCCTCGTGAAGATGCCTAGTGAAGAGGCCCAGCTCGCCTATGGGTACCCCAGGAGAGGGCACGGCCACTCCTACATCACAGCTAAAGAGTAAGTTCAAAGCTTTTGCTCACACAGCTTCTGAATTCCGCCGGCACACGCCTGTCCGTGAATCTCTCCAGTGTCTATTTCTCCAGAGAGTAAAACGGTGGCAATGAAGCGAGGAGACCTGTGGTCCCACAAGGGGCTCACACCAGCTTCTCTGAGGCCGAACAGGCAAGGGGACAGGAATGGTAAAGAGTTGGTTCTGACCATTTTGGTCTGCATTCTTGGCTCTTCAGCCTTTGCTGTGGGTTCCAGGGCAAAAAACATGTCTGGAAGCAAGTTGCCTCCTTCCTCAGGCTCCGGAAGGTGGTCTGCAGGCAGAACAAAGGTGAGTTGCCAAAGAGCAAGTGAGGATGAAGGGCAGGTCTGTGATTCCACCTGCGGTTGACTCCAGGGCGCACACGGTGGGCAGAACCTTCGCTTCATGACTATCCTCTGGAAAGGCGTTTGGTATTTTGAATCCGTGAAGCGTTTCTAAGAGCGAAGCACTGTGTAACCTGCCCAAGATGCTATGCTTCCCTTGAAAAAGGTCTTATGATCTCGTTGGGAGAGTTAGGCACGAGGATGATTTCACCAGAGCAAGTGCTGTCATGGGAACACTGGCTGCGGGGACGCTGGGCGGGTCTGGGTGTGGTGGCAGGAGGGGAGCCCGCCCCCTGAGTGGGGGTTCCAACAAGACAGACAAGGAACCCTCTCTTCAGCTCCTGCCAGCCGGCTCGCCCTCGGGAAAGAGCTGTTGACAAATCCTTCCTAGAGTGAACTAGCCGGGCCAGCAAGTGTCAGACCCAGGCAGACACCGAGGGAGCATCTCCCCGAGGCCCCGGGGGTTTCCTAACGTCCCGCCTGGTCATCGGGGTGGGGGGCAGATGTTCTGAAAAATTCTCCCAAGAGCTAAAGGATACTCTCTGGGGGCTACACTGCACATGGTGTTAAGTAGGATGCTGTTCCGGCTTCTGCATGATGACTCAACAGGCTCGTAGCGTCAGGCGTGAGGGCACAGGTCACATGAGCTTGAAGAGATGCGGTTTCCTAGGCGCCACCACACCACCCAAGAGGCTGATTCGGTTGGACGGGGGGTGGGGGGGTGGGGGCGGTGGGGGGCAGGTTCTGCACTTTCTCACGTCTCAGGTGACTCCTCTGCGGAGGTATTGGGGTGACACTGAGGCCCAGCCCAGCCGGGGGTGGGTTTTCCTGGTGTGCGGCATAGGCTGGTGATTTCCGCTCTCGGTCAGTCCCTGGGGGTGTGAGTGCAACGTGACCGTGTGTGAAGAGCGGGCACAGAGCGAGCTCTGTGCCGTGGTGTCCAGGGCAGAGCCGCAGACCTGGCGGTGGAACCAGCGCAGCCGCTGGGAATGGAGTCAGCTGCCTTCGTCATGGGGCCCACGGCTCGCTCCAGGGGGCAGTTCATTCCCAGACGGACGGGTGATCAGCAAAGCACCGGCCCAGGCGAGGGGGGCTGGGTCTGCCCACATTCTAGACGTGCGCGCTGGGTACATGGGGCCAGTCCCTGTGGAAGCTGGTTCTGCCACTGACCTGTGTGCAACCTGAGGCACTGTACCAGCCTGAAGTCTTGGGGTGTCGGCTGCGGAACGAACATCCCACCTACCTCAGAGGTTGCCACGAAGATGGAATAAAAGCCCATATGTGGGGGGCTTGGCACAGACCGGTGCTCAGGGAGTGGCCCTGAAGGTGGTGGAGATGCTGATGAGTTGTGGGGGGTTTCGGCTGCATGTGGGGGACTGGCCTGCAGCATCAGGTCAGAGCTGTATCCTGCCCTGCCATCCCCCTGGGAGGTGGGCCCTGGCCCCTCAGGGACTTGAGGTGGTGGTGGTGCAGCAGGTGGCGCTGGGCAAAGGTCTCTCAGTCAGACCCTGTTTCTCCTGCAGCTGCTCCGACTCATCACCGCCCAGCTCTGCGGAGCCTTTCTCTAACAGCGGTTCTCAACCTGTGGGTCTCGACCCCTTTGGGGGTGGAACGATCCCTTCACGGGGGTCGCCTAAATACGTCCTGCATATCAGATATTTACATTACGATTCATAACAGTAGCAACATTACAGTTATGAAGTAGCAACGAAAATAATTTTATGGTTGGGGGTGACCACAACATGAGGAACTGTATTAAAGGGTCGCGGCATTAGGAAGGTTGAGAACCACTGCTAGCAGGTCGCAGGTAAAGGACTCTGCACTCTCCAGTTTGTTGCCGTTGCTCATGCTGTGAAGTGGAAAGGCAGGCAGGTGCCTGTGAGCTGGCCATGTTACGCAGAGGAAGCAGAGCCCCGGGGCCTGGAGAGGGACACTGGACACAGGGCCCAGGAGGCTGGCGTGGCTCCTGCCCCTTCTCAGCGAGGCTGTAGCTTTGCTCCAGGTGCAGCCGGACGCTCCTCCCAGGGCCGGGCCCAGGGCTGTGTTGTTTAGTGATCCCCGCCCGGCCGGCCAGCTGGGAGGCGCTTACCAAGTATCCACAGAGCGCCTGGCTCCAGGGGTCATCTGGCCTCTCTGACTTGGCAGCCAGGCCGGCCGAGAGGTCAGACCTCTCATCTCAGCTGCTCCAGGGGCCTCCCGCCAGCTCCGTTCTCAGATGCCCCTTCTAGTCCCTCAGGGGAGACCAGAGGAAGCAGCAAGCACCTGCCCTGAATTCCTGGAGCAAGTGGAGGCCCGACAGCAGCTTGCCTCGCCGAGCATACACCCAGGACACATGTCCTGGCTGGGCTGGGCTCTGGCATCCCTGTGACACTTATAGTCTCCTGGACCTCTCAGTCCTACAAGTCAGAATGCCCCAGTTCTAAGCCCTCGGGGCCGGTTTCTGAGCTCTCTCTGTCTCTTTATTAACTCTCTCCATCCCAAACCCAAACCTGCTCTGTGGTATGTTGCTGATCCCTGTATTCTCACTTGAGTACCAATGACTCACAAGAGGTTAAAGTCACATTTTGTCAAAAATCCACATAATTTTAGATAGTTATTTTAAGAAGACATTAAATTGTTCATTCATTTTTCAGAGAGAGTGGTGTTATGAATTTGTTATGGATTATGGATTTTGTTATGGATTATGAATTTGTAATCAGCCATAATGCATTTGTTCATTTTTTTTATTAATTTGTTTGGCCATCCATTCATTCATCCACCCAGCTTCAAGAAATATTTCTTGAAACACCTATGTGCCTGACTCGTTCTAGACATTGAAGACACACACACACACACACACACACACACACACACACACACAACGCCAACGCCTCTGGAAGCTCTTGCCATGTCTAGAAGAAACAGGTGAGCACACAGTGATCACCCACAGGGAGGCCTGTGAGAGAAGGCAGCATGGGTTGCCATCACACTGGGAGGAATGATGCTGAGTCTAGGAGAATGTGTTAGTCAAGGCAGGAAGGGAGGGGACATGGGCAAGGAGTGAGGTGTGGGGGACGGATAGGGCTGAGAGGGCACAAGGGAGTCAAGTTCAAATCCCATGCTATCTTTGTGTGACCATCAGCAAGGCACTTAACCTCTGCATGTATTTCCTCGTCTGTGAAATGGGGACGACAAGCGGTGCCTGCCTTCCAGGGCTGTTGTGAGAATTGAATAAGCTAATGTATCTAGAACAGTGGTCGCCAGGCTTTCGGACCTCATGGACCACCAGCGGCCCGCGGACCACCGGTTGGCGACCGCTGAAATGTTTAGCATGGCACCTGGCTAATAGTGGATGGTCAGTCAATGCTCATTTCCATTTCCTTTTTGTGGGCTGATAGTTGGGGGAAATGATTTAAACCAGCCCCAGTGAAAAGATAATTCAGCCTCAAAAAATATATTGTCCACATGAGGGTCAGTTGCTACTGCACCTCCTGCACCAGGAACTTGGGTGCGTGTGCCCATGCCGGGTAGCACGGCTCCTGTTGGCACATACCTGAGAGGCTCCTAGAGGAGGCGCTGCCCCTGGATGCAAGTGCTGGAGGCCTGGTGGCTGCCCGGTGTGCCATGTGGCGGGAAATTACTTGGGGACTGGGTGGTGCTGTGCTGGGCTGGCAAGTCCCTGTGAAGAGAGGAACAGGTGTTCACAGTGTGGAGGAAGTCCCAAGCTGGATCTGTCTGTCTCCTGGGCCAGGATCGCAGGGATTGGCGTCCTGACGGTGATCCTGGGACTTGTGCTGTTCCTCGGCTGCTGGTATTGTAGAAGACGAAACGGATACGGGATCCTGAAGGTTGGTAAAGGTCCTACCAACCCGCCTGGGGATCCTCACTGCGTCTGCTGCTCCACTTAGTGGCCGCCCCTCTCTCCTTGTCTTCACCCCTTTCCTCTCCGGTTGCCGGGGAATTCTAACTCCGCTCTACCAAGCAACCCAGTATACCCAGGACCCACCTAGCCATCAGTGCAGTGAGGTAGCCATTCCCTCCTCAGCAGCACAAAGGCCCACCAGGTGTTTAACAGGCTCCCTCTTCCTTTGATGGCCGATGTGGTGCCAGTAGGATTTTTCCTTCTTTACCTTTATGATCAGGAAGCTAGCAAGTGACACAGTTCAGTCTTGGGGCCGCAGGATCTTCCACAAATGGAAACCATCAACTGAGTCTCGAAACTATAAAAACTACAGGTTTCAGAAACCTGGCTTCAAAACCAGGGAGCACCCTAGCACCTAAGCATCCAAAGGCATTATCCGCAGTGAGCAACGGAATAAAAGGAGAGCTGTATTTTCTCCTTTCTTCCCTTCTCTTTCCTTCTTCCCTCTTGTCTTCTCTTCTCTCGCTCCCTCTCCTGTCTCTTTCTTGTATTACAGATCCGAAGGCTTCTGAGGCTGATACGTAATGGAAAACATTTATCTTTATAAAAGATGTTGGGAAGTCGGATTCCTCACTCCGAGGAAAAGGTTCTGTGATTGATAGAGGGGAGGAGAGGGGTGGGTGGGAGGCCGTGGTTTGGCAGGCCTAGGTGCAGAGGGGAAGGTGAGGGCTGTAGCTTCGAATTCTCCTCCTTGCTAGGAAGCTTGGGCAGTTCCAACTGTCCACAGTTGCTAGCTAGATGATTCTGGGCAAAAAGACAATGTTTTTTCTGTTTAATTTTTTAAAATTTTCCTTTCTGCTTCAACACTCTCATCTTGAACTCATTCACCTTAAGGGTAAGAGAATCTTAACATTGTGGGCTCAGGTACTGGGAACATTTTGCTTGGTGAGGTTCAAGTCCAGCCAGCCATGCCTCCATAGGCCTTCTTCAGTGATGTGCGGTTTGCGGTTTCTGGAATTTTTATGTGTTTATATTCCCTGCTTCCCGACTGTCTAAAAATGCTCCCCGTCATATATTTTTTAAAATTAATATTAAAATATTGTTTTGAGACTTTTATAACTCCTGAAATGCTAGGTTGGGAACCAGCAGTCTAAGAAATGTAGGCAAAATGATGTGAAATAGGGCATTACGTACTGCATTTAATTACATAATCACCTCCCTGTCTCTCTTTGGTGATTCTATTTCATTTTAAAACAGAAGTACATACATGACAATAAATGCAAACTGTGGGTGTCTGAGTGACTCCACCTTTAGCAACCTTCATTGAGCTTGGGAATGTCCACTTTCCCTGAACACAGCATGGTAGCAAGGTTGGTTGGAATTAAGATCTAAAATTTCTCCCTTGGCTAACAATTCCCCTTAGACCTGGAACACATCCTTTGAAAGGAAAGACTGCTTTTTGCAGCAATGTGTTTCTTCGGGAAAATGATTTGTAAGGCGCTGGAACTTGGTTCTTGTATTTACCGATTTTACTCTTTCACCTGGAAGTTTAGCGCACAATCCTTGAGATCCTTGGAGAGCATTTTGAGGCCCCTGCTGACAGCGGAGTTTGCGCCCATGTCTTGTGGCGTCTGTTTCTCTGTGCATGGCCGGGGGCTCCTGCACGCCCACCACTGGGGTTTCTTGCTGAAATGCAGATCCTGGGGCCAGCTCTGGTGGCGAGACCCAGGAACCCTCATTTTAACATGCACACCATGGCAGGTGAGAGATCTGAAAAGCAAAGAAAAAGAAGAAAAGCAATTATTGAGTAAAGGGAGAGACACATTAAATATTATTTTACTTTTCTTTTCTGAGGTGTAGCTCTGGGATCTGGGGTGACGGGGGTGGGGGGGGGGTGGAGGGAGGTGGGGGGATGGGAGCAGAACCTCCCTGTGTGGTCATGTCATTAGGGCCCTTGTGGGTGATTGATTGCTTTAAGCCACTGAATTTAGGGACGTTTGCTGTGTAGTGATAGATAGCTGACATAGGATATTTGCCTTAATTTGCTTATGTTTATTTAGGATTTCTGCACATACTTTCAGAAGGAAGATTAGATTATATTTTCTCTTCTTTTCCACTGTCCTTGTCTGCTTTTCATATCAACATTATATAACCCTTTAAAAAAGGGGCTGGGGTGTGTTCCTTTTTTTTCCTAGTTTCTGAAAGCATCTGGGTAAGTTTGACATTATTTTTTCTTTAACATTTGATTAAAAAGAGACAGCCCTGGCAGGCTTGGTTCAGGTGTTAGAGTGTCAGCCCGCACACCGGAGGGTTGTGGGTTCCATTCTTGACCACGGGCACACGTACCTGGGTTGCAGATTCAATCCCTCCCCTCAGGTGGGGGCTCTTTGAGGAGGCAATCCAGTGAAGGGTCTTTCACATCGATGTTTCTCTCCTTCTCTCCCCCACTCCCCCCCCCCCCCACTTCCTTCCACTCTCTCAAAATCATTGGGAAAAAAATATCCTCATTCGAGGATTAAAAAAAGAGAGAGACACAAAGTAATACATATAAAAAAGATTAGGGTCCTTGTTCAAACTGGAATTTTGGAAAACTACTTCTTTACAGCCTGCAGACTGTGTAGGTATCAGCCCAATCCACATCTGGCCTCGTCCAATTTGATGCTCCTAACACTCCTCCTCCCTGGGAAACCTGCCTGGATGCCTTTCTCATGCAGCCTGGCAGACAGACCCCCGTGGTCTGCCTCGGCCCACAGAGGAGCCCAGGAGCCTCAGATCCCCTGCACACCTCCCCGTCCCAGCCTCCCTCAGCCACAGAGCACGCTGCTCACACCCCGCTGGCTGGATGTGGCCCACAGATAGGTTTGGGCCTGTCTTTTTAAAAATTGAATTAGGTGCTAATATTGAAAGTAACATTTTACATAAAAATCTTGATTTCTAGTTTCTTTAAAAAAAATCAAAAGATCTGGGAAAAACTGGCAGCTCTGCAGTGGCTGTCCGTTCAGATGGGACAGACACTCCCTCCTTTCCTATGGCCTCACCTGACCCCCTTCATCACCTGCCTGGTCCCTCTGAGTATAGCCGAGTTGCATGAGGCACAGGCAATAAGAAGGTGCATTGTCTGTGGAGCAGTGGTTCTTGGTGTGGTCCTGGCCCAGCAATATCTCCTGGGAACTTATTAGAAATGCAAATTCGTGGGCCTCACCCCAGGCTGACTGAGTCAGAAATTCTGGGTGTGGGCCCAGCACTGTGTTTAGCAGGCCCTCCAGGGAATGCTGATGCACGCTCACGTTTGAAAACCATTGTTGTAGAGACTTTAACAATAATAAAAGCAACTAAAGTTAGTCTGTTTTTTATTATCACAAAATGCCAGCAATTTTTAACATTATCAGTGATTAAAGACTCTACCTCACCAGGGTGGACCGCTCCTGCAGTCTCTACTTTAGTTTGTGTCTCTGTCTTGTACAAACGGTTGCCATTCTATTCTAGGGGTGAAGAGCATCACCCTCTAACCCCATGCAAAGCACTAAGCTTTTAGCCACCCCCCCACCCCCGCCCCCAATACCTCAGGGTGCATCGCTTAGCCATAGACTGACTTGTCATCATTGTTGCAACTTGACTTGGAAGCCCAGGGCCACAGCCTCAGCATTTCTATCACAGTACATGCGTTCAGAGTGTTTAAGATATTTTGCTGTCATTATGCAAAAGGCAGACACAGAGTGTGTCCCTGCTGGCATATGGTCAGATGCGTGTCCTCACTATCATACCAGCTCCTGCCTCACGAGTTCTGATCTACTCCACTTGCATTCATTCTGAAGTTCATTTTTTTAGATTCACTCTTTTTTCCTTCCCTTTAAAAACAGTCACTGAGCCTGGCCTGTGTGGCCCAGTGGTTGAGCGTCGACCTATGAAACAGGAGGTCACGGTTTGATTCCTGGTCAGGGCACATGCCTGGGTTGTGGGCTTGATCCCCAGTGGGGGACATGTAGGAGGCAACTGATCAATGATTCTCTCTCATCATTGATATTCCTATCTCTCCTTCTCCCTTCCTCTCTGGAATAAAGAAAAAATATTTTTACAAAAGCCATTGACAACTGGGTATCAGGCACTGCAATGGGTGCTTTACCTTTAGTTAACTCCTGCAACAGCTTTGAGAGGTAGTGTAAGGTCTGGGGCTGGGAAAATAGGGTCTTTCCTGATCCCACCAGCTGAGTTGGACAAAACAACCCAGAACTGCCGAGCCACATCCTGCTGGACAATAGCTGCCATCCTGGGACCCACTAGAGCATCCTGTTGTGCTGATGGCCAATAAATAACCACTGGAGACTTCTCAAGATGGCCAGGGTGCAGCTGCACCAACTTCCCGCTCATCAATCACCCGCCACAAGCTACCTCAGATAAGCCTGATTGGTCCAACAGCAGCATAAAAAATCTCTGCCAGGCATAGGCGGGTGTGACTCCCCCGGCCTGCACCTCCAGACCGTGGGACCTCACCCGAGAGCTTCCAATAAACGCGATATTTTGCTCTTACCCTGCTTGTCTTGGTCAATTTATTGGCTTTGGTCAGATTAAATCTTACATCTCAGATTAAACCTTACATTAAACCTAACAGGTAGATGATGTTATTTTCATATTACAGATGCAAAAACTGGAGTTCTGAGGGGATATGCAGTATGTGGCACAACCAGGATTAAAAGCCAATCTTAAAACGTCACCTTCTTTCTCATTTCTTTAATGGGCTCAATCTTTTCTTCTCACCCACTGATCTTCATGAATTCACATTTCAGGGCAGAAGCCGTTACGTTGGTACTCAGGGTACCTTTACAGGAAGATGTCTACGTGAGGGACTTGGTCACCAGGACAGCAAGCTGCCTTTTCTAGAGAACAATTATGAACCTGTGGTAAGTTGAGATCCTGCATGTTGGTGTTTTCGTGTATGGCTGCTTTTAACTCAAATGAATAAAATTATTCCTATTTTAAAAGCAAGGACAATGTGAATGTATTTAATACTACTGAACAGTACACCTAAAAAGTTAAAATAGTAAATTCTGTCTATTTTACCATAATGAAAAATAAGAAAGGTAAAAAACAAGGGAAGCACAGAAATGTTCTTAGACTGTGTTCGCTCATACCGATTTTCCAGGGTCAACAATGACAGCTTTACATGTAGGATCCAAAGGAAGAACTTGGTTCTGGATACAATATCCTTTTGTCTTATGTTTTAGTATACTTGCCTATGTCCTGAACACAGATATATTTGAGGGAGAAAATAAAAGACCTGTTATTATTTGTATAGAGCTGTGCTACACAATAGGGTAGCCACTAGCCACATGTAGCTATTGAGCACTTAAAACACAGCAGTTTGAATTAAGATGCACTCTACTACATACCAGATTTCAAAGACTTAGTATGAGGAAAGAACATAGATAGTTCATTAATCATTTTTATATCAGTTACATGTTGAAATGATATTTTGATATGTGGGTTTAAATGAAATATATTAAGATTAATTTTACCTGCAGTAAAAATGCAATGTATTTAGTGCCTGCAAACAGGGTTCAATAATTCATTAGTTAGGACTTGGGACTTCTACTGACAAGGATATTCTAGGTATATAGGGTGTCCCCAAAAAACTATGCACACACTTTGAATAATTATAAAGGCAGTGTTTATTAAAATACATTTTCAAAATTGAGCTATCAGCTACTAAAGTGTGCATACATTTTTGGGAGATGCCCTATATATAAGTTTTTGAGGTTTTGAAAAGCCCTTAGCCCTATTTTTCTCTATTCTTGCCCCAACAATGTTTCAACATGCACACTTGTGAAATTTAACTATGATTACCTTGTTGGATGGAAATTGGATGTGGACACGTAAAGGTTCAGTCCAGAGAAAAAGGAGAGTGATGTTACTTAATGGCTGTCCCAGAAACACGCACGGTGGCCAACGCCCTATTCTCCCTTTCTCGTCCTCCCAGGTTCCCAATGCCCCACCTGCCTACGAGAAACTCTCCACTCAGCAGTCCCCACCACCTTACTCTCCGTGAGAGCCAGCGAGGCCCCTGAGAGATGCCGAAATGATTCGCCTCACACTTTGGATTACATTGAATGTGGACAGTTAATGTCCTGCTTCGGGATGCTGTAGAAACAGTGTACATCATCACTAACAATAAGCTTAGTGCTAAATTCTTAGTAGGGAAACTAGCAATACTAATTGAGGAAATGATGAAAAATATTAAAATGGAAAAACGTTGTCAATAAACATTTTGAGGCATGTTACTATCTGTGCCAGTAGTAATGCTAATACATCTATGGTGTTACTTCTGGAGGGACAGAATTTAAATGTGTGTTCTGGGACCATTCAATTTCTTTTCAGTTGAAATTTGGCTAATAACTAACCAACTACTATTCTGATTTTTCAAGAAGCAACCTCTTGAACTGAACTCTAACAGGTGAGTTTGTGTTATGGAGTGCTCGCAAAGGATACCTTTACAGGTTTAAGACCAAGAGCTGATTGACCTTCCAGATGACACAGGCAGCCTCATCTGATCAGGAAGGTGTCAGCAATGTCTCTGTTTGCTGAGATTCCAAGATGCTGCAGCAATGTAGTGCGGAGGTCCTCTTTCCTAAGTAACACATACACACAGTCCTAATCTCATTTCATTTCAGCGCTCAATGTTATAATTAATGACAAGAATTTCCTGTTATTCCAGAAGGTGGTGTCAGAATTTAAATAAGTAAAAGCCACTGTAGTTTGGCTGACGTCTTACCTCCTTAAATGTCCCAATGGCAATTCAGTTCCTTTGGGCTCCCAAATTCCTCTCTAAGGAGCATATAGAAGAAATCACAAAGACTCAGAGGTTCTGGAATAGTGTCGTTATTTACTGGCAACACTACACTTTTTTGTTGTTGACATCTACATATCATGTATACTATTATTTATCTAATATTTTTTTCAGCCAGCTCATTAAAATGATTGGCTCAAATTTTCACTCTAAGTGGAAAATAGTATCTTTTTTCATAAGTAGAGGATAACTATAAACATGAAGATAATGAAAGCAAATTATTCTTATTAAAACCCAGGAAGATACTAATGGTTGCAGAAGACTGTCAACCTGAGACCTGCTCTCTTTATTAATGAGGGAGATTAGCAAGAGCCGGAGAAAAGCTTTTAACATAATGAAAAGGCTTGCAGGAGAAAGAAATGACTTTCTCACTATGTGACTCAGTGTTACCTAGTGCTGAGTCACCCAACCACCTAAAATCGTCTTGTGTCATTGGAAACACCAGTGCAGCCGAACTGCATCATTTCCTACAAAAGACCGAATTGTACGGAAGAGAAAAAAACACAGAATAAAGAGACTTATTACACACATTGAAAAAAAGTCATTCGCCCGGCCAGTGTGGCTCAGTGGTTGAGCATTGACCTATGAACCAGGAGGTCACAGTTTGATCCCCAGTCAGGGCACTTGCCTAAGTTGTGGGCTGAATCCCCAGTGTGGGGTGTGCAGGCGGCAGCAGATCAATGATTCTCACTCATCATTGATGTTTTTCTCTCTCCCTCTCCCTTCCTCTCTGAAATCAATACAAATATATATTTTTAAAAATTCACTTATATCTATATCTATATATATCTATATATATCTATATCTATATCTATCTATATCTATCTATATCTATCTATATCTATATATATCTATATATCTATATCTATATATATAGATAGATATATAGATATATAGATATATAAAAGTCATTCAACAAAATACTAAAATACTTCCCTGCCCTTTCTGACTGTCCAGTCTTACCACTTAAAATAAGCCCTGTCCCCATCCCTGTCGTCCCCTCCCCCCACACCCTTTTCCAACAACAACAAAAAAGAGTTCTAAACAAAGTAAATTCCATCAGGCATTTGGGCAGCTCCTTTCCTCATTGAAAGGCCTAGTTTGAGCCCTAACCTGCACATTCATAGAATAGCCTATGGCTTGCTCCCTGGACCCCTCCAAGATCTCCAGCCCATCCGCCATCCGCTGAGCGTTCGCTCCTTTCCCTGTGGAAAATGGCTCTTTTCCCAGAGTCCCTCAGTGTCCCAGGCGATGGGCAAGGGGGTTGAGCTGTCTGCCAGAGAGAAACTAGAAGAGTGAGATTTTGTTTCAAGGAATAGATGTGGGGTGCCAGATTCAGCCAAAAGGACCTGCCCCCTACACAGAGGCAGCCACACATTTGAAAACGACTCCCTGGATTGAGGGCCAATTGTGGGACAACCTTGGGAGCCAGGAGCTGGAGACTGCAGGGTCACATGATGGGAGGAGCCTGGGTCACAGACACCAGTGGAAGAGTCTCCCTCATCTAGGAACGCTTGGATTGAATGAGGACAAATTGGCTCCACAGAAAATCCGTGAACTGCTAAGGCTTTGCCAAATGTGACATTGAAATCCAGGGATAGTAGTAATACCTTTGTTGAGGCCCTTCGCTGCTCTGCCCCTGCACACCTGGATGGAACACACACAAATGAGAGCTAGACGGGTGCCTCCTGGGGAGCTAGGTCCCTGTGACCTCTGCAGGCAGGATCAGGCTCCCCTACTGCCCAAGGAAACTTGAACACAAGAGCATGAGCCTCACCCAGGGCCCTGCGCACAGGTGTCCTCTACTGCAGCGTGCTCCCTCCCCCTCCTCCCCCCACTACCTTGTGGGCCGAGTGGGTAATGGCATGGCATGACTTTGATCTCCTAGGTTTCCTGCAGGAACAGGTCAGGACTAGAGCAGCCAGAGCTCATGGATGACCTCCTCTGGCTGTAACCCTTGTTTTCTGTGTCCAAATGCGCTGGATAAATAATATCACTTCCCCTTTGTGCAGTGAGTCTTTTTTATAGAACCTGGTCTTCCCTCCTTCTCCTGGCCCCCCTTCAGCCCCCAGGTGTTGTCTGATGCTTGATTCAAGGCCCAAGTCTCTATGGTTTCCCTAGGAGATTCTGATATGGATTCTCTGATTGTAAAGAGAGTAAAGAGCAGGCGAACTTGAGGGAAAAAGAGCTAGCCAAAATATTCTCCGCCTGGGTTAAAGTCCGTGAGGAGCTGGCAAACCAACAAAGCCCCAATCACCTCTAGTGGAGCCCGGTCCTCTGCAGCTACAAGTACTGAGTTTGGTAGCACTTACAAATCTGGGTAGCTCCGGTCATCACTTGAGAATAGTACAGCACTTTTCCAAAAAAGGACAGAAAACAGGAAGCCCCCTATACTTTCTTTCTTTCTTTTTTAAAAAAATACATTTTATTGATTTTTTGCAGAGAGGAAGGGAGAGAGAGAGTTAGAAACATCGATCAGCTGCCTCCTGCACATCTCCCACTGGGGATGTGCCTGAAACCAAGGTACATGCCCTTGATTGGAATCGAACCTGGGACCTTTCAGTCCGCAGGCCGAAGCTCTATCCACTGAACCAAACCGGTTTCGGCTACATTTTCATTTCATGGCTTTAAGGACTGACAGTGTCACCTGAAAATGCATGGAAATTCCTCTATCTCAGGTGACTGATGACGAAACATCATAAAATCATCTCTGAGGAATGCTGAGCAAGTTCGGAGGGAAGTCATGGGTGGCCTGGATAAAAACACTCATTTTGAAGAATGCCCAAAACTGCTATCCCAAGAAGCTGTAAGATGAAAGAAAGAGTGGGAAATGAAGAAACAGGAAAAAAAAAAAAGCTGACAACTTGAAAACACCAACGAGAGAGGCGTTAAATGATAAAGAGAGCCCATTAAAATCTCTGAAAAGGTGATGAAGATAAGTCTGCCTGCTTTCTTCAGAAATGATTACCTGGTTGATGGCTATCTGAAATCAGACAGAGAAAATTAAACAAATGAGAACCCCTCCACTGTCAATGAGACGTCAATTTGAAGGGATATACCAATCCTGTTAAGTGTTCCTTTGAAAAGGCTTGAAGGAGAAAGATTAAGGACTATTTAAAAAGTTAAGTGAAGAAATTTAAATTAACAAACCACTTACAGTTCAAATGAACGGTGTCCAAACATCTTTGCAGTCTGAAAATAGTTTGCAAGTGAGACTCAAAAACTTCAAATATTGCCGGACTAGTCAACAACATGTGCAATGCAGATTTGCAAAAAATCAATTGAGGAAAGAATTTACTGCTTAGCAATCTGGAAGAAAGTTCCCAAAGTATATGAAAATACATGTACATTAGAAGCACAGCTCCTACAAGAAGATGGCTTTGGCAGTTGGAAAGAAGCACTTCCTTGAAGATCAGCTGGATTGCCTCCCATGAGAAAAAAGCTCAGGTAAGGTGGATGGCTGCCTGGCGGAGAGAAAGCTCACTGAGACAAGAAAAGAAAAGGATCACAACAGACAAAATATTGGCTGAAGATGTTTGAATTCCAGCTTTTCCCAAGTGGCCCCCACTGTCCCACCTGCAGCCCTGGGCAGAAGCCAGGAAGCATCAGGTGACTCCCTAAATCATCAGGTCCCCAGAGGAGAGGTCAAGCTGTGAGGACTCAGGTATCTGAGCCACCTGCAGGTTTGAATCAGGTTTACAGCAGCCAACTCAATTTCTAAAGGACGTGTTTTCTCTTTAAAAATAATTTTTAGATAATTATTCTTTCAGTTTGATTTTACTTACTTGATGCTACATTTGCTCAAATTGTAGTTTAATGGACTCTGAAAAATCAGACAGAGGCCGAAAACCAGGTCTACAGGCTTTATTAGAAAAGGACCTGCCGGGCTGTCCCGCAAGGGGAGAACAGCAGCACGTGCAGGGGTGGGCACGCCTTTTGAGGGGGCAGAATGGGAAGGGGTGGGGGGCTTAGTGTACTCGGCGCACACTGATTGGTGGCTTACTGCATTGTCCATATAGGACAAGGGTTTAGGGTATTTGGCAGGTATGGATTGGTGGTCCAATGTATAGTCCATATAAGGTACATGGTTAGTCACTCAGGTATTTCCGGGCTGCAGGTTACATCATACTCCGCCCACCAGTTGGGGGAAGGGAGGATCTATCATTGAATCATTATTAAGATAGTGTTTTGAGGATCTAGATGGTTTTATTAAAATTCTAGACCATTTCATTAACGTTCTAGAATTAGATCCATATAAACATTTTATTTAATCCTCACCCGAGGATATTTTCCCATTAATTTTTAGAGAGAGTGGGAGAGGGAAAGACAAAAACATTGATGTGAGAAACACATCATATTGGTTACCTCCTGCATGAGCCCTGACCAGGGCCTGGGCCGAGGAGGAGCCTGCAGCCGAGGTACGTGCCTTTGACCGGAATCGAACCCGGGACCTTTAGGTCTGAAGGCCGATGCTCTATCCACTGAGCCAAACCAGCTAGGGCTGGCATTACGTAAGTGCATACAAGTGCTTTTAATACAGTTGTGAAGGAGTGATCTGTCCTTCTCAATCTATGACCTCAATCTGTAACTGCAATATGATGCTGGCTCGGGTATGGTAAGGAGAGGAAGTTATGTAATACTAGTAGTCCTGCGCACGAGTAGCTCGCTGCTGCCCTCCTGTAGCTCCACACCGCCCGCCCCCATAGCTTGCTGCCCTGCCCCCTCCTGTAGCTGTCGGACGGTCGCCTGCCCGCCTGCCCGCTTGTAGCTCGCTGCCCCACCCTCCTGCTGATCCGTCACCCAGTCGTTACACGGTGGTCGCTTCACAGCCTAACGACCATGTGCATATTACATCTTTATTATATAGGATGTGATGAGAACCTATAATGGAACATTAAGTCAAAGAAAACATCTGGGAAGACCTTGAGGTGTCTCAAACTTTCTATGACCGAAAACTAAACCAAACAAACAAAAAAACTAGAGTACACTGAGCAAGAGTAGGTTGAAATGAAGCTGGAGAGGTAAGCAGAAACTTAAAAGACAGGAGAGTCTGTTAAGCCCTGAGGAGGAGGAGGGGAGCACTTCACTCTAAAAGGTTCAACAGATCACACCGAGCTTCGAAGGTCATTATCAGAATTTTGAATTTAGGAGTTAGAAAAGAATTAGTGGTTAATAAATTATTTAGGTCCCTCACTGAGATTAAAATGGGACCAATAGGTAATTCAGTTATTTCTGGAAGTGACTTAGATAATTATTTTCAACAAAAGACAAACAGTTCTGGGTGGTTTTACTTTAAAAGTTAAGCACATGGCCCAGGCCAGGTGGCTCGGTTGGTTGAGCATTGTCCCATGCACTGAAAGGTTGCCGGTTCCAATCCCAGTCAGGGCACACACCCAGGTTGTGGGTTCAGTTCCCAGACAGGAGGCAACTGATGACATTTCTCTTCACATCTGTATTTCTCTCCTTCTCTCAAATTAACTTAAAAAAACATTTAATATAGTTAAATACATTCATTTATTGAGGACCACCTATGTACAATGTAATGCATTTCAACATCGCCCACTTCCCCCTGAAATCCATGGTCTTTCTAAACTGACAGGGAAAGGGAAGGTGACTACAGAGTTGAACATAGACATGATTGGCAAAAGTGCTCTTAGAACACAAATACAGGTTTCTGAGAACCTTTAGCAACTTCCTAGGAATATCCACCCTCACTGCCCACTTTGATAACTAATAAATTTCAATGTAGTTTCAAAAGAAGTCTGTAGGCCTATTCTTCCCTACCATTTCAACTCCAGGTTTAACAATATTATAATAAATGGAATGTGGATGAATATACAATGTCCCAAATAAGATAATGGATATAAAGATCCAATAAGTATAAAATCTTTTATTTAAAATGAGGCATATCCTGAAATACCACAACGTAAAACCCTGAGAATAAAATGACCAATAAAAATTGCTTTATAATGGAATTTAAGTAACTGCTCTGTAGTTGACAAAAACAAATAAAAAGCAAAGAGTACTTACAAGTAATTGAAGTGTCCACATTTGTTATTCTAAACTAAAAAATCATGTTTTAAAAAATACCAAATTGGAAAATTAGTCACTATGAACCAACACCTCAATATAAAAATAAACCTATCGGGGGGAAACTTGGTAAAGGATTCAAGGGACCTCTCTGTGCTATCATTGTAACTTTCTGTGAATCTAAAGTTATTTAAAAATAAAAAGCTTATAAAAACATATCTGGGGTGTATGAACAGACAGCAAATACATTGGTCTGAAAGATTACTTATTTTGATTAATATAGAATTTGGTGGTGGACTTACAGAAAAAAGTTAAAATAATGAAATCTAGAATAAAATTTTATAACAGAAATAGTGTAAAATCATGGAAAAAGAATGTAAAGCATCACGTTCAAAAATTGACTCTACCACCTACTAGTTGGGTGCTTTGGACACATCACTTAACCCTCTCAAGAATACCGTGAAAATCAAATGAGATGTGGAAGTACAGTTTGTAAACTGTAAAGCCTATACAAATGCTAGCTATTAATTCAAATTTCCCAGCCTCGATTCTTTTTTTGTAAAGGACTATCTCCATTTTATATCATATATTCTCCCAATGGAACAAGAACGCAATTAAAAAAATGGTATTCAAACAAACAAATACAGCAACTCAGTTTATTACATGCAGATTCTTCTGCATTGTTGCTAACAGTTCACTGGTCCAAAATTACTAAAATACTTAAAAAACTATACATTATGTAAACAAAACATAAATAAGACAGCATAGTTCTTTGTACATATAGTTTAGTACAGGTTGTTAGGAATTTAGGAATATGTACAATTTTACACCATGGACTGCATTTTCACAATGCATAAATATATATATATATATATATATATATATTTACAGAAATAAAAATAAGATTTCACTAATGACACAAAATACCATATTGTAGATACACGCTGCAATAGTCCAAATTCAAGAAGAAACATGTCAATGCAAGTGCGCAAAAGGCTAGCTTACTCCAAACTAGTCAAACTTGACTTTGTTCAATTTGTTATACAGACAGGTAAAGCCTGGCTACTTTAACCAACCAACCTCAGAGAACATATACCAATGAGTGAAATGGAACAGGTATTTCCCTCCCCAAGAAAACAAAGCCTGTTGCAAGCTAATGAAAAGATACATTAACACACACACACACACACACACACACACACACACACACACACACACACAATGTATAGTATGTTTTCAACAGTATAATAAACAGTTAAAATTTATATGGGAATCAAAACAATGCCCCATTATTTAAAAACTGGCTCGTTTAGTCTAAATTCAAGATGCAGCTGTGTCAGGCTTCTCTAAGCCAGATGACTGAAACGCAGGGAAGACAGAGGCAGGCTTTCGACTGGCAGATACAACAATTTGAGAGAGAGATGAAGAGAGTGAAGAAACCTTAGATGCTGGAGTACTTATGGTATTCAAAATGGCTCCTTCTGGGCTAACCAACAATTTTTTGACTGATGTGTCCAAATGAAATACTGAAGTACTACTTGGCAGTGGAGAATTACTAGAGCAAATGGCAGAAACCAAAGATGTCTTGGCTAAAAGAGTACTTGGAGGAGACTTAATTACTGAAGTCAATGACACCGTTGGTACAGGAGGTGGAACAGAAACTTGAGCAGTTGTGTTTATGATTTGTGGTTGTGTATGCACTGTGGGTAGAGAACTTGCATTCTCAAGAGAGTTTACAATTTTTGTAGAGGTTCTTAGAGATTGTTTTACAGGTTGCCCACTTAAATTATTAGATGCTAGTGTGGTCTTTTGGACAGGATTATCTACTGGTATAGGCTGAATGCTTTGGCCACTGTTAAGCACTAAGGGAGGTCCATATTTTGGATTAGTAGATATAAGAAGAACATGGCTGCCAGCTCCAAGACCTTGTGGTGGAACAATAAACCGGGTTCCATTAATCATGATCTGAGTACCAGGTGCCAAAGGAGTACTGGTGTTGATGACTATTTTTTGCTGAATACAAGGTTCACTGAACTGACTTTCTACCACACTAGTTACATGTGATGGTGCTGTAGCAGTGTGAATGGCAGAGCCACCTGGAGTAGAACTGTAACTGGAGGATGACTTTACTAAAGCAGGGGATATTGGCTGGTTTGGCAGAGAAGCAACATTGGAAATATTAACTATTTTACTTGGACTCGGTGAAAGGGATGGCAATTCAGTTTGAGGTTTATTTGTGTTCATATTTGTTGGCACTGTAGCTGAAATCCCTGGTGATTGAAACTGGACAGAAGTCTGAGATTGTCTTTTAGAAAGAGATACAGAACGTGTGGCTCCTGATACTGTTGCCACTTGTGGGACTGTGTTGATTTTAGGGGATAGAGTCACAGGTGTAGGCAAGGCAACATTAACAGGGATTTGCAAAGCTGATGTCAAACATTTAGGAGACACTGTTGGTTGTGTAGTTGAAATCAGAACAGATGATGCAAGATGTCCTGTTTTCACAGTTGATATCGCCACAGTGTTTCCGAGATTTGACGTGCAAAGTCTATTTGACAAAACAGGCATAATTCTTGAAGAGGTATCATTTCCACTGACTAAAACAGGAGGTCGTGTCCCAACTGAAGCAGAGGTTGAGGTCACTGAAAGAGAACCTACAGATACATTTGCTCCTGTTACTGAAAACATGTTTACTGCTCTTGCTGCAGAAACCACTGATTCATTAACAGGAGTAATATTTTGACTCACAAAATTTGAGCTTACTGGAATTGAATTACTTGTTGACAATGGCAAAACATAGCCCTTGGTACTTTTTTCTTCTCCTTTTGGGGTTACATTTTGCAGTATGTTAATTGATGGTATAGCCGGCACACTCCCTGAAGTATTTACAATTGCTTGACCTATGTTTAGACCAATTTTCACATCTTTTATCTGAGACACAGTTGTTGATGAATTTATTTTCATTGGTGCTCCCACTGTAGATGGAATTAGTACTATCTGAGGCTGCTCTGGAGTCTTAACATATGTTTTATTCAAGGGGAGAGTTTGTTTTAATGGTTCTGCCACAATAGTTGAAGTGCCACTGGATATTGGAGCATTAATAAAAACTAATTTCTGGGCAGACACACCTGTAGGTGTTGGTGCAGGTGTCACATTAATTGGAGTTCCACTGCCAGAAGAAAGAACAGATGGAGCTGATACTAACATAACTTTTTGAACTGTAGTCCCACTGATGACATCTCCATTTGTTGCTACTGTTGCTTCTGATCTTGTAACAGGGTAACTTTTTGTGATATAATCTGCTTGTTGCTGTTTAGTTGGAGTATGAATAGCATTTGCGTTGGTTTGTCCAAAATTTCCTGGTGGAAGGCTAATTACACTTACTGAACTATTTGCTGTTGATGATAGCAGAGAACTAGAAGAAATAGAGGACTTCAAGGGAGAAGAGGGCATGTGTGAAGTCTTCTCTACCATGTGGCCCAAATTATCACTTACAAGAGGTTGTCCTAATGTAAGTTTGAGATTTTTCCCCATGGATGGATTAAAGCCAGCTGGAATGGAAGCAGAAGTTGGTGTTTGGCCAAAAGGTGGAAGACTAGATGTAGTAGTCATTCCAGCTACTGGTGAAAAAGCAGAGGAGGATGAAGTTGTTGATTTTGGCACCAGAAATGCCTGAAGCTGAGGAGCAAAAGTGAAAACTGAACTCGAAGATAAACTGTTGGGTGAATTTTGATCTGTATTTGTTTGTACTTTCACAACTCCAGTGTTCCCACCTCGGGTCCTTACAAGAATTGACTGTGAATCTCTGATACACACAGTTTTCAATTCTTGCTTTGCTTCAGAAGAATCAGAAGTTTGTTGTGCAAAACTGTTGAGGGAGCTACCAGGATTTGTAGATCCACTTAGTGTTGTTGCTGATAATAGAGGCTGAACTACGGAAGAAATGGTGGGTGAAGCAATGGGATGGGGGAATGTGGTTGCTGAAATTGCATTTTTTACTTTTCCTACCTCACTCTGGCTATTCTTAACTGGTGGTGTTAATAAATTACTTATGGAGGTTACAGGTGACAAAGGCTGTGGTCTAGCACTATTCACATTTGACAAAGGTGTAATCGTCTTGTTCAAAACTGCATTAGGTAGATGGGTAGAAGAAACAGCTCCTGCTGACTTGACAAGAACTGTTGCTGAAGAAGAGTTTACATTTTCTGTCTGCTGGAAAGATAAACCATGTTGTTCTGTACCTTTTTGTTGAAGTGGTGGTATTTCTTTTGCAACTGCTTTTCCTTCCTTATGCTGAATCACAAAATTCTTAGGCAGAATGAGGACCTGCTGCATGATTTTTTCTCCTGTCTTAGGATCCAGCATAGGTTGCATCTGAATCTTTACTGAGCTATTATGAAGATCTATGGGCAACCACTGGCCACAGGGCATTTTGTACACCATCTGTAAAGGACCTTTTGTACTGGTGTGGCAGGTCAACGCTGGCTTTATGGGGCTTGCTTCTGGAGGAGATAAAACTGGCTTTTCCACAACAGAAGCACTTTTACCTGTGGAAGGGGGCAGTTGATTTGTTAAGGTCACTTTGTTCCCAATATTCGTTGCAAGCAAGGCCTGAATAGGTTTGGTCCCTTTCTGGAGAGTAGACACTGGTGTTGAATCCACTGAGGTAAATGACTCTGGAAACAGTGGCTCTGTATGCTTTGATTCATCCAAATAGTCCAACTGCATATCATCTTCTGCATTCTCAACTGTTGTCTCATTTGTGCTTAACTTTGCTTTCTTCCTTGGAGAAAGTTCTTTTGTGCTATCATCCAGATGACTAGTTTGTTTGGACTGTCGCTTAAGTGTTTTAGGCAGTGTCTTCAGTACATCTTTAGAAGGCAATTCCTTTTTCAACAACTTGCTTCTGGCCATAGGAAACTCTATTTCTGACAATTTCATATCATCTGAAAATTATAAAACAAGCATTTTGTTAATATAAATTGCAAGTGAATAGTAATAAGACCAATTATTTTTTAAAAAGTCAATCTTTGAACTGACAATTTATTAAGAAATTTATAAGGTGATTCAAGTCTCAGCACCACTGATGGGAATTAAGGTAAGATGACCTTTGACATAGTAATCTTGATATAATAAACATTTTCAAGAACATCCTATTATTAACAAGAAAATTATTTTTGGTTAACTGGCTCAGTGGATAGAGCATCAGCCTGCGGACTGAAAGGTCCCGGGTTCGATTCCGGTCAAGGGCATGTACCTGGGCTAAGAATTTAGATTTGGAAAGGAATCTAGTCTAGTTCTCTTCTTCACAGGAAAATCTTGATGTCAAAGAGAGATGGTTCTCCATACTAATCTATTTTTAGAGACTCTAAAGGATGAAAAGTGTCCAGCTTTTACTGGTGTTTAATTACCCCTACAGTAAAAAATTTATGTTCATGTCTGGTCAAACTGGGTTGATAAGAAGTTATTCTTTTTCAACTTACTAAAGACATAAAATACAACAGGTTAATTCATATCTAACCACAAATTTTCATACTAACCCTCATATAACTAAAGAAAGTAATTTAATTAGATTTATATAATAATATAATCTGATGAATTGAAATGAATTACAGATAGTCTAATCCAGCCTTTAATATAAGAATAGTGTGTCCACTCAGGTATCATTAAGCCATCAATCTTGGTCATTCCTTATTAACAAATAATCTTCACAGTATTAGGGACTTTCCAAGTTCCCATTTAAAGTAAACATCAGAAATAGTGCTTCAAACACAGTGATAAGAAGAGGCTGAACCTATTTCAAAGGAGGTGCAGATCAAGGATGTGTGGTCTGTAATGAGCAGTGACACACATATAGTTTGGAGTCAAGCATTGGCTCCAGAAACTCCCAGAAATGTAATAACTTCAAAGAACCTTTTATTAAGGACATAGTACACCTTCAAAACATCAGATTTCCCCAATCAATACATGTCATTAACTAGATGATATTTTATCTCCATATAATATACTAAAACTTCTCTGAGCTTTTCGTGTTGATTTAAAAGAAAGTGTTTTTTATTAAACTTTTATTAAATTTATGACTTCTTTGATTAGTACTGAAGTAACAGTCTTTGATTTATTATAATTCCATGATATAATTAATAGCCATATCTGAAAGTACCACTGAGACTGAATGCCAGATGTGTAATGCATAGTGATGTTTTTTCAATGCCTACCGAATCCAAAGTGATCCTTCTCCAGGATTCTAGAGGTCTGTTGAGTCTATAGACTTACTGATTTCAACTTTAGGAGATTCCTTTCCAGGATCTCCTTCACCTTCTTCAGTAGTCCATAGTTCTCTAGTAAATTGATCATGATCAGGCTGTCTTCTGAAATCATCATAGTCTTTTTTTAGGCGGCTCCTGAAATAGAATGCCCAAGATAACAAACAAACAAAATACTCATGTTTAGTTCAGTCTTTCCAATGACTATTATTTAAGAAGACAAAACCCAGGGTATAGCATAAGAAATTGAAAAGATTATATCTGCAACTTCAAAATAAAGTGTTTGAACATTCCACTCATTTGTCTTTCTAAATGCTACTGGTAGAGAAAAAGATAATTCCAAGAATATTGATTTTACATAGTCTTAAAATGACTATATTTTAAAAGTTCATTAAAAAGTTAATCAAGAAATTCTAAGAAACAGTACCTATCTACAGAGATTAACAAACAAAATAAATATCCATCATTTAATCCTGAGAATAAATATTTCTAAACTTTTGGGTCTACTAGAAAGAAATCTTTATTAAGCATAAGAAAACAAAGCAGAAAGGTGATCTTCCAGAGATCCTTTTCACATAAAAATGTAACAGCTATGTTTTAATGAAACTATGGAGAAATGAAAACATTTCCAAATGATTATATGGTATTTATTATCATTTTTGCTTTCCACTGAGTTTCTATGTTCTACCTCCTAACCTTTACCCTTTATTTTTTTGTTTTTAAAAATAATCTGAACATACATTCTCTAATGTATTTTTGCTACAAGTTCTTATATTTGCATATTGAAGTTTAGGTCTCACTTCTGCCATTTAACAGCTATAAGACTTTGGGCAAGACTTCCTAAGCATCAGTTTACGTCTTTGTACAATAGGGATAACAACTACTTACCTCATAGTATGTGTGGCACATAAATATTCAATAAATGTTAGTTAATAATAACTCTCAACTTATCAGTTTTAAATTAATACTTAAGGTTTTATGAAGTAGGTAAGGGTTGTAAGATACTAGAATGGGTTACCAAAGGGTAACTGTAAAATTAATTTCATTTTAGAAATATCTACATGGGATTTATAATTTCCTTCCTTCTCAGTCTTAGCTAGTGATTTTGCTTCTTATTTCAGAGAAAATAAAAGTAATCAGACAAGAACCTTCATATGTTCATACCTCATCTGCAACTGAAGACATTCATTTGTACTCATATTTTCTGTCTTATCTAAGTTGACTCCTCCACTTAAGCATCCTGTCTCACCTCTTCAAGAATATCATTCTACCTTCCTTTGCCTGAGTCCATTTTTATCTCTGTATCAGATAATTTCAACCAGTATACAACCATGTTATTTCTCTCATTAAAATAAAAACAAAACACAAAGCATTACTTCGCTTGACTCCAATTGTCCTTCTAGGTACTGCCCTATTTCTCTGCTTTACTTTATAGCAAAATTCTAATTCTTCTACCCTAATTCTCTTGAACAGACTCCTAACTTTTACCCACTTCTCTACTAACACAGCTCATCAAGGTCATCAATGATCTCATGCTGTCAAAATTAAATAATAAATCCTCAGTCCTCATATTCCTCAGTTCATCATGAGTAGACCTCATGGACATTTTCTTTCCCTAGTTTCCAAGACACCACTCTTTCTCTTGGTTTTCCTCCTATCTTACTGAATACTCACCTTCTCAGTCTCTTCTGCTGAGTACTCATCTCCACCATCTCTGAATGCCATAGGGTTCAGTATCTCTTCTTATCTATGTTCACATACAAGGTAATTTCTACCAGTTTCACAGCCTAAATATAATCTATATCCAGACAACTTCCAAACTTAAATCTGGCTTACTCTCTTAGACTGGGAACTTATACTAAACTGCCTACTCAATAACTCCAACTAGATGTCTAAAAAGCATATCAAACTTCACATGTTGAAATCCAAACTCTGAATCACTTTCTTCCTCTGCCCCAAACTTGTTATTCCTTCAGTTCCCACTATCTCAGCTAACAGCAATTCCATTATTCCAGTTGTTTAGACCAAAAACACTGAGGATCATCTTTTTACTCTCATTTTTTTCTGTCACTTCATATTCAAATCCCTAAGTAAATTCTACCAATCCTGCCCTGGCTGGTGTGGCTCAGCTGGTTGGAATTGTTGTCCTGTGAAGGGTCACAAGTTTGATTCCCAGTCAGGACACATATAGGAGGCAACTGATCGATGTTTCTCTCTCTTCCTCTCTTTCCCTGTAAAAAATCAATAGAAACATATCCTCAGGTGAGAATTAAAAAAAAAAAAAAATCCTACCTTCAAGATATATCCAGAATCCATCCACTCCTTGTGATTAGCACTGCTACTATCCTGATCTAAGCCACTATCATCTTTTGCCTGGATTACTGCTAGAGTGTAGCTGATTTCCCTACTTTCATCGTTGTCCCTCTACATACTAAACTCAACACAACAGGCAGAGTGAGTTTAAACATTAAGTTTTAAAGCACATGTCCTGCCTCTGCTTTAAACCCTCCAAAGGCTTCTCATCTCAATAAGAGTGAAAACCAAAGTCCTTAAAGACCTACATGATCTTTACTTCTCTCACTCTTGATTCTTACCACTTTCCTCCTCACTCACTCACTCTGGCTACACTTGCTCCTTTGCATTTCCTCTAAATGCCAAACATGCTTCCAACCTTAGGGTTTCTGCATTTTCTTTTTCTTCAGATATCTACATGGCTCTCTCCCTCATTTCCTTTTTTAAATTTTTATTTTTTTAAATATATTTTATTGATTTTTTACAGAGAGGAAGGGAGAGGGATAGAGAGTTAGAAACATCCATGAGAGAGAAACATCGATCAGCTGCCTCCTGCACAACTCCTACTGGAGATATGCCTGCAACCAAGGTACATGGCCTTGACCGGAATCGAACCTGGGACTCTTCAGTCCACAGGCCGACGCTCTAGCCACTGAGCCAAACTGGTCAGGGCCCTCATTTCCTTTAGATCTCTGTTCAAACATCACCTTATCAGGGAATTTCTCCAACACCCTGGTAAAAGAGCAATCACCATTCAAACCAGGCATTTCTTATCTCCCTTTACCCTGCTCTATTTTTCTTTACAGCACTTATCACCATCTAACATTTGACTTGGTCCCTTTCTTCCATTAGAATATAAGCCACAGATGAAGCTAGAAATCAATAAAAGGAAAACTGGAAAATTTACAATTTTGTGAAAATTAAACAACACTGTTAAATAACCAATGGATAAAAGAAGAAATCATAAGGGAAGTTGGAAAATACAAATGAATGAAAATAAAAACACAACATATCAAAAGTATGGAACAATGAAAGCAGTGCTAAGGGGAAAATTTAAAGCTACAAACGCTTACATTAAAAAACAAGAAAGATCTCAAATCAACCACCTAACTTTATAACATAAGAACCTAGAAAAAGAAGAAGAAACCCAAAGCTAGCAGTACAGAAATAATAAAGATTAAATAAAATAGAGAATAGAAATGCAGAGAAAAATCAATGAAATCAAAAGTTAGTTCTTTGAAGGATCAACAAAACTGACCGACCTTTAGCTAGACTTAGAAAAAAAAAAAAGAGAAGACTCAAATTACTAAAATCAGAAATGAAAGTGGGGCAATTAGTACCAATTCTAAAAGGATTATTCCGAGTACTATGAATAATTGTATGCCAATAAATTGGATAACTAGATGAAACGAACAAATTCCTAAAAACATAAAACTTACCAAAGCTAAATCATGAATAGAAAATCTGACTAAATCTATAACTAGTAAGGAGATCATATCACTAACAAAAAAAATCTCTTGACAAAGAAAAGCCCCAGACCTGACTACTTCACTGGTGAAGTTTACCAAACATCTAAGAAGAACTAATACCAATCCTTTCCAAACTTTTCCAAAAATCTCAAAAGGATAAAACATTTCTTAACTCGTTCTTTGAAGCCAGCATTATCTTGATGCCAAATCTTGGTAAAGACACTACAGGAAAACTACAGACTGCTATCTCTTATAAACATTAATGCAAAAATTCTCAACAAAATACAAGCAAATGAAATTCAGCAGCATATTGAAAGAATTATACACCACGACCAAATGGGATTTATTCCTGAAATGCCATGATGGTTCAACATACAAAAACTGGTTAATGTAATAGACCACATTAATAGAATGAAGAAAAGAAACTGCATGATCATCTCAATTATTGCAGAAAAAGCATTTGACAAAAGTCAACATCCTTTAATAGAAACACTCAACACATGAGAAACAGAAGGAAACTACTTCAACATTAAAAACACACACACCATACATGAATAACCCACAGCCAACATCATACTCAATGGTAAAAGACTGAAAGCTTTTCCTCTAAGCACAGGAACAAGGATGCTTGCTTTTGCTACTTCTATTCAACATAGTACTAGATATTCTAGCCAGAGCAATTAGGCAAGAAAAAGAAACAAAGGCATTCAAGTTAAAAAGGAAGAAGTAAAATGATCTCTGTTCACAGATATTATATGTAAAAAAAACACTAAGAACTAAAAAAATTGCTAGAACTAATAAATTGAGCAAAGTAGGAAGATATTAAGTCAATACACAAAAATCAGTTGTATTTTTATAGATTGACAATGATCAAAGTGAAAAGGAAATTAAAATACTTAGGAATTAATCAAGAATGTGAAAGACCTGTACAATGAAAACTAAAAAAAAAAATGAAGAAGGAAATTAAAAGAAGACATAGGTAAATAGAAACACACCATATTCATGTATTGGAAGATAATATACATTGAGTGGCCAGATTATTATAACCACCCCATCAGTACTTCATTGGGCCACCTTTTGCCTTCAATACTGTGGCAATTCTTCTTGGCATTGACTCCACGAGATGTTGAAAGGTGATGCGAGGAATCTGACACCATGCCTGATGAATAGCACTGTCCAGTTCTGTGAGATTTGATGGTTGTGGAACCAGCTGCCTGATGGCTCTTTTAACTTCGTCCCACAAATGCTCAATTGGATTGAGATCTGGTGATTGTGGGGGCCACCTAAGCAAGGTAAGTCTCCCTCATGTTCTTGAAACCACTCCTGCACAATACGAACACCGTGGCATGGCGCATTGTCTTGTTGGAAGAAGCCATC